GCACAGCAGACCTCTCCTGTGTCGCCCACTGCTCCCCTCAGCAGGGTATTTCAGTCAGTCTACCTGTTCTGTTCCCCACTCTGTCTCTGGTGAACCCTCTCACCCCCCACATCTCTGGCCTGTACCCCTGTTCTTGTTTGCATAAATAAGTAAATCTTAAAAAAAAAAAAAAGAAGTTAGCCGGCAAACTGCCTGGCAGAAAGGTGTGTGAATCTCCCAAACATTTCCCTAAGGCAGTCTGTAGGTCTTTGAGGTGAAGGGGTGTTCCAGCCTCATCTCTTGCCCCCCCACATACCTACCACCCCCATGAGAGTCCCCCATCCTTTCCACCTGACTCCTTCCTACCTCCCCCTCTTTAGAGGGTTTAAACCCTCTAAACCTCCCAACTCTCCTGCTGTAGAATTCTCTCTATGGTGCCCAGTTCCTGAATCATTATTAGTTGTTTCTCTTGTGTGGAAGAGTGAAGCAAGGAATAACAATGACATCTACTTGGAGGGGGCTCCCTCTTGATGCTCTCATAATAACCTAGGTGTAGCTCTGTCATTGTGCTGAAAACATCCCACAGAAATGGCCAGGGTAGTAAGTGATCTTCCCTGCTAGACTATGAGCTTTTCTAAGGGCAAGGACTGTTTTATCCAATGAGCGGTGTATTCTGAGACCCTGGCACAGCACTTCATAGGCCCTGGGTAAACGCAGTGCGATGAGTCTCCATCCACTTAACTGCTTGGACCACAATATGAGTCATCTTTAATATCTTTCCCTCACTTACTGTCACCAAACCCATCAGTAAGACCATTTCTACTTGTAAAACATACCCCAAACCCTCTACTCTTCCTTCATCTCTGGCACCACCATCCTAATTCAGACACCAACTGCTCTGTGGGTCTGGACCTAAACAGTGGGTCTGCCTTTGGTCATCTCTCCTACTGCCTCCAGAACGCATTCTCCATTAGAAAGTAGGGCGAGCTTTTAAAAAATACGTCAAATCATATCACACTTCTGCCTAAAACCCTTCATTGGTTTCCTATGACAATTAGAATAAATTTAAACTCTTTACCTGGACCTTCTAAGCCTACATGATCTGTCTCTTTTCCTTGACTTCATCTACCTCCATCCTTTGTTTTCCCCACTCCTTTCAGTTCCTCAAATCTACTTTGCGTGCTCTTGATTTGGGGTCTCTTTCTGTACCCTTCCCTTCACCTAGAAGGTTCCTTGTTGTCTGAATGCCACCTTATCACTGATGCTCAAACACCTCATGCTCAGGGAGGCATTCTCTGACCACTCTAGCTAGCTCAGCCCTGTCCTCCACTTTGCAGCACCTTCAACTATGTAGACTAATGATGTTATTTGTTGGTTTGTGTTTATTACCCACTAAGGTATCTCTTGTTTGCCTCTGTCTGACCAATGCCTAGAACAGGGCTGGGCACACAATAACTAGAAATTTCTGTTGAGTAAATGAAGTCATTTAAAATTAATCATGAATAGATTATTTATTTCATTTCCTCAGAGACTTTTAATGTAACATTTCATTTTAAAGGCAATAAAGAATTATAAAAAATGAGATGTCATGATTGGCTTTTGAGGAAACACTGCAGAAAGTAGGCTAAGAGAGTCATTTAAGAGAATATGATTCTTCTAAAAACTCTGTCATAACCAATCTAGGCAACAGGCAGATCCAGGCACTGTATTAGGAGGAGTACAAATCACAAATTAGTTTTGTGCTTGAGGAACTCAAAATCTATCAGAAGATACAGATTTATAGTTATAAGATCTAATATCTGTATGGTGCTAGTCATGTTCACATTTAGAATTACTTCATTTGACTCTAAGAGTCTTAGGACATAGAGTATTATTATTTTTTATTATTACATTTTTATAGATTATCTAACTGAATTTCAACAAAGTTATGTGACTTGCCTTGGATCACCACTGTGTCTCTTCAGTGTGATAAACGTATGCGCAACATGCTAGGGGAGTTCAAGTGGAACAGAGAGAAACACTATTTTTATCTGGAGAGGTTTATATGGAGAGATCTGGGAAGGCTTCACTGAGGAAAATTCATATAAATTCATATAAATTCATGTAGAGGGGAAGGCACATTACAGATCTGATGAAAAGCACAGAAAGATGAGAATGTATAGCTTGCTCTGGGTGGCAAGAATGAAGGAAGAGGAGTCAGGAAGGGAAAAGTCAGCTGTCCTGTGAAAGATCTCAGAGCCATTTTGTATGCAGTGTGCAGTCCCTGAAAGTGGAAGATTGAAATGGTCAGACATGGGTTTTCAAAAGAAAATTAAATTGGTGGATGAATTAGAGCATGAAGAAATAAGTGAGGCTTTCTTTCACTCCCCCCTCCTCCCTCTTTTCCTTACTTCCTTCTTTTCTTTTCATGCAAGGCAGGAAAGTTTCTGAAGAGATGGTGGAAACAGAAGGAACCCATACATAAAAGTTTGTGTGAGTTGGAATCACTTTTTGGGAGGCAGAAGAGAGGGAGGAGTTTTTGTTTTTTGGTTTTGTTTTTTTTTAGTTTCCAGTATATATGGCTTGGTAGAAGATGGGTATACCAACTTGAAAAATAGTTTGAGAAGGGAATGAGAAGTGGGAGATGAGGGTTTTCTTGTAAATAAGAGAAAGTATTTGTCATTAGTCATTTTGGCTTGTAATGCTTATTAGTAACATTCAGGGAGATATATCAAGTAAGTGGCTGAAATTATAGGCCTAACCTTTGAAAACAGGGTTGAAGCCAGATTTCTAGATTTTGAAGTCATCACAACACAAGTTGTACTAAAATTCTTACTGCAAAGGACATAAGAAAATTGGGTGGGTGGGGGTGCTGGAAATGTTGAATTTCATGATTATGGTGGTGATTACAAATTGTCTCAAAACAGATCAAATTGCACCCTTAGGATTCATTTTCTTTACTCTTAAATCCCTTAAAAATAGAAAAAGTCATAAAAATAAACTTCCTTGTACAACATGGCAAGTACTAAAAATTGTTTTTTTTTAATTGATAATCAATTGCTCTTTAACAAAAAGAAAAGGAAGAAAATGGGAAATGGTTCTACACATATCTATTAAAAACAAGTGTCAGGCATCAGGATGCCTGTCATGGATTCAGTTGTTCCAGAAGGTAATGCTGGAGTGCTGGTTTGTAGGTCATTTGGGAGTTCTCCATTCAAAAATTCATTCCCTCCCCAACCATCTTCCTCCATCCTCAGCCCACCATACCACCTTGGTTTACTTCCTCATTTGATGTAGTTGTGACAATACAGGTGCTTGAAGAATATAATATGACTCATTGCTGAACATGAAATCTTCCTTATTGATTGAGTTCAGGCTTATGGCCAATTTGGCCTCCTCATTTGGCACCATTCCCTCTGCATCACTTCTCAATTATCCTTTCAGAGCTCAGCTTAAAAAATCTACTTTGTAACAAAAAACCATTTTTGATTTGATAGAAAGAGGTAAAGTCTGATACCTATATTTATCTACCAGTGTGGACATATCCACCATGAGCATTCAGTCACCAAATTTCTAAATTTACATTGGGTACTCATTCTGCCATTTATGAAGGCTCTGAGATCTTAAATAAAATGAGTATAATAAAACCCACCTCGCAAGGTAGTGTGAAATAAATCAGAATACCTCAGTTTTGTACTGTGGAGGCACAGAATGCTGACTATGACATTGAATAGGCACACAATAAAACGTACATTTCTTTTCAGGTCTGATTATACTTTCTGAATTATTTAGTCTTTATCACAAATTTCTTGAAAGTGAAAGCACCCTTTGCTGGGCTTTGTAGTCCTGGTCTAACTAATTCATCCTCAGGAGACACTGGGAAACATGCTTAGGAAACCGGCAGGTCAAGGATAAAGTTGAAAATGATTTACACAATAAATACATAGATGGGAAAAAAATCATTCTGGAGAAATGGAGGGGAAAGAGGAGGTGGCAAAGGTCATCCTTAACATTTCCATTTTCCATTCATTTAAATGTTTATCTTGCCAAAAAGAGGGGACAGAAGGTCTCATCTTGATGAAGGAGCTGCAAGACTGTGTGCCAATACACCTGGTATTGATTCATGCCAAGTGGGAGAGGAGCTTGGCTTCTCAGTGTTTTACTACTGTGGTTTCCTGGGCTGGGCAGCTGGGTGCCTAATAATGGTAAAAACCATAATAATACTTCATAATTACGTACTGCCCTTTGCCAGAACTTGGATTTAATTACCATGACTATGATGGAACTGGCAACATCTCACTCCCTGTTGGGGTGCAATACCCAAGGGCCTGGAAATACAAAGTGAAGTGGCAACTGCAACCTTCTCCTGCAGGGCCTATCCTGGCAATTCACCCAGAGTTCTCTGGGTTTGAAGCTCATCATCAGAAACAAAGAGTACTTTTAAATTGCCCACATGTACTTGGCACTGTAAATGAAGTAGTGTTTAGAAACCAACTACTGCCACACACGGGGTACAGTATCATGGAATCCCCGACCTGGAAGAGATCAAAACAGGATCTCATTCACATGACCCAGTCCTGACATGAGGCATCACTGCCACTACACGCTAATAGCTGAGTTCACAACCTTCCCACTCTGATTTGGAATGAACATGCTTTTTCGGCAGTTCATTTCAGGTGTTAGGGGACTCCCCAATTCATTTACCACTCATTTTGCAAGACCATCCTGAGCCAAGGTGCTTTGGCGGCACAAAGATATGTAAGGTATGGTATAAGTAGTTTATCTTCTAGCTGGGGGTCTGTATTTGGGCAGCTATAATATAAAGATAGAGGAAAGTCTTGGCAGATGCAAGGAAATGAAATCAAGACCCCAGGTGAAAGGATCAGGGTCCTCTCCTCTTTGAGAATAAGACAGGGAGAGAGGCATTGAGGCTGTCAGAGGCTCTTAAAGGTTTCTCATGTATTATTTTGTTCTTCATAGCACTTATCAACCTTATATTATCTTGTTTATTTACTAATTTATTTATGTGTTCTTTGACTCACCCATTCAGGAAACTTGTTGTGTTCATCACTATACACTGAACATCTGAAACCATGCCTGACTCACAGTAAAGTGCTCAGTAAATACTGGATTGATGTATGAATGCCCCAGGCGAAGCAGTGTCTAGAAACAGAGAGAAGAGTATTTCGTAAATATAATCAGGACAGAGTATGAAGGGATAAGGAGGTGTTACACACAGCATGGAGGATTCCTCCTACATTCTGGTTTGGGTGAGTGGATGGTGGTGTTATCAAAGAAGGAACAGAAAAGGAGAAGTTTTTGTGGCCTTTTGAAGGCACTAGAGTTCCGATTTGGATGTATCATGATGAGGTGCAAGTGCAGATCTGGACCTTTAAAAGGTACTCTCAGTCATCGAAATGGTTAGCTCCACCTAGTGTGCAGAAGGATTAGGTATCTACTGAAGAGGAACTGAGGAACAGATCCTCGGACTTGAAACCAACAGAGAACAAATTTAGAATGGTGATCTGAAGAGAAGACAAAATTTGAGGGTTTGTAGTCTCAGGGAAACTGCGGGGAGGGGTAAGCTGAAGAAGACAAAAAAGTTGCAAGAAAGATGTAGTTCATAAAATCGACTGTGATGGAGCCCAAACAAGATAAAAAACTAAAAAGTGATCCTTGAAATTGGCCGCGTGGATGTCAACTGGTGGCCTTAAGAGAAGCACTTTCAGTGAGCTAGTAGGGAGTATAGCTTACGAGGCATGAAGAGAAATAAGGGTGAGACCTAGGCAGGGTTTCATTGGCAAGTTTTGTTCTTGTTTCTTAAAGGTTGATGGCTTTGGGACACGACCATGGGTAAGTCTAACACACAAGTGGCCAGTAAGTCTGTAAATGACACAGGGTTCCTAAAAGACCTGACATACGAGGCCTGCCAGCGTCACAATGCCCAGACTATGCTTCTACCCTTTCAGCCATTTCTGGGGCGGGGGCTTTCCAAGCAAAAAGTGGAAGACAACTACCCCTCCAGCCGATCTGTGAGTCGTATTTGTGACATCTGGCAGTGAGAATGGCAATATGTGAATTAAAGTAATGTCCAGTTTCCCGCAGAGCTTGGAAATTAGTAACCGGGTGGCTCCATGCTGGAGGGAACTAAGGAGACTCATTCACATTTTCCTTTCCAGCACTCACGCCTTCCATTCATCATTTTGCCTTCCCTTTTCCCGAACGTAGTTGAAACCCGAAACAAAGATTTCTCCCTTCTCCCACCCCAGCTTGACCCTCTGCCCCGAAGCCCACCTAAGGGCCCTTCTCGGACCACGTGACCCTCCTCAGCCCCCGTGACTCGAGGCCGCCAGCCCCTCCCCTCGGGCCGCAGCCCGCTTTGCCCCGCCTCTCTAGCCCACGTGACCGCCTCTCTCCCACCTGACTGGCTTCTCCCTCCCCCGCCCCCCCCCCCCGCCGGACCCGGCCGCCTTCGCAGCTGCCCGACTCCAAAATGGCAGCCGCGCACAGCGCGCACCCGAGCGGCCGGACCTCCCTGACTCCCGTGCAGCCCCCCTCTCGCTCCCTGCCTCCCTCCCTCGGCCTTCACCTACACGCCTCCGGATTGGCCGTTAGGAAGCCCGCCCCTCCAGAACCGCGCCTGCTATTGGTCACGGTAGGCTGCCCTTCAGAGAGGCGTGCCCTCGTCGCCCCCACCCCGGGAGGTATTTTCCTTGCGGTGGGGGCCGGGGGAGGGGGGAGGGGAGAAGGGTGAAGAGGGGGAGGCGGCCGGGGAAGGGGGTGGGGGCCTGGCGGGGGCATCCGGCGGAGCTGGGGTCCCCGGGCTCCGTCGGGAGGAAGCGAGACTGCGCCCGCTCTGGCAGCGGGGAGGACGGGACGGACCGGCGGGCGGGCGGGCGGACTCGCCCTCTCGGCGGCGGCACCGTCGGGCCCGTCCCGCCTGGCCGCAGGTGCCCTGGATGAGGCCGCCCCACGCGCCCCGACCGGTGAGTGTCCCCGCGGCCCGCCCCGGCCCCGGCCCCCGGCCCCCGCGCCGCGGTTAGCGGCCGCCTCTCCGGCCCGGGTGCCCGCGCCCGGCGCAGTCCGCCTCCGGCCGGCGCCTCCACACCCCGGCGGGGGCAGCGCCGACCCTCGGGTCGGGAGAGGGCGGCGGGCGGCGACGGGAGCGGCGAGCCAGCGGTGAGCCCGGAGCGGACCGCACCGCGCGCTGGGAGCTTGCGCTTAGTGGCTCCCGATCGATGGATCCCTGTGGAATGGGAATTGTTTTTCTAGATGGAGGAACGTGGCCCTAAGGGGCACCCACGGGTCCTCGCCGGCGGGTGGGAAGGGGTTCGTGATCTGGGTGCTGGTGAGTCGGGAGAGGCCACTGGAGACTGGGGGGCATTTGCGCGCGCAGGGAAGAACGCACCGGCCAAGCCACTTGGGCTTTTAGGGCTCAGATCCCGGGGTCCTCAAGGTCGAGGAGAAGAGGTCCACGGGGAGATGAGAGAGGAAACTGGGGAGCTTGAGGGGGGGAAATGACTGGAGCGCCTCCGGGGGTGTGGGGTTTAAATCCGAGGTGGAAAGGGATGTGTGGGCGGGCTCTGGAGGACCCCTTGTAACTGCTTGGACTCCTGAGATTCTTTGGTGCTGGGGCTTGAGCATTCTTGTAGTTGAAGTGGAGAGACTTTCTGGAGAGGGAGTTGCTTTTAAAGAAAAATGCTAAGAAACTGTTAAAGTATATACATCATGCTTTGGTTCTGAACTTTGAAAGACGGGTGGAATTGGAGTCACAAGGTGATTTTTGACATTTTCTTTTGCATTCCAACCAAAAAGGTGACTGTTTCTAAACCTTGTCAGTTACCTTATATTTTAAAATGTATGTGTGCATTTGATGGTATTTTACCAGTTCTTAACTTTTCTGGAAATTCTCATAGCAGCACCTTGAAATTTTTGTAGCAGCCTCTTCATCTGCTGAAGAGCCTTCAGGTCTCCTTATCAATAGCAGTGGCTTACTTCTTTTCCTCTTAGCATTTAGACTCGATTATACTATCACAGTTTGCTACTGACTTAATTCTTCACGATTAATAAGTAATTCGCATGCTTTCTTTCCTTTAGTTTTAATTGCGTCTGTACAAGGCCCTGCAAAATTGAACCACAATTTGTAATTGAAAGATATTTGAAGTGTTGAACCTGAAAGATACTGGTAAGCTAGAAAGCAATTCTAAAATCAGGTTGAGCTTGCTTAGTTTAATTTTAATAATCTTTCACTTGCAGAATATTCTTGAGGACCGGTTAGGAACATAGAAAATGCATACCACAGCGAGGCAGTGGCAGTCCCCTGAATAGTGTGGCAGCACAAGGAGATTCTTCCTGTGGCTGAGAAGAGGAAGCTAAGAATTGCACAGCAAGATCTTTAATCTCTTTAGCATTTTCTTAATTACATGTGTGTGTATATATATATATATATATATATACACACACACACCTATATGTATCTTAGTAATGCCTCACAATTAACAGAAAAAAACCTTGTTTTACTAGGGAGTACTTACACATACTTTAGAAAATTTTGTAGATCATATTTTACCCTTTAATGTAATTCATCAGTCAGAGAAAATGTTTCTGCAAAAGGTGTTAATATTTTCAGTTGGCACTTTCTCAATTCTTGGCTAATTTAGGGATAATTACATTTTTTCCTTCCCTGTTGTCCTTGAATTTTACTGTTCGTCCTTAGGGAGCATGTATTGGCACACAAAACTGTAACCTAAAATATTGAAACCTAACACCTTTCAGCATTATAATAGCTTCTATATTGTGCACCTTGAGAATCATTTATGGCAAACCAGTGGTCAGGAAAGCTTTCACCTAACACTTTTGTTTAGATTGTTTTTTTTCCTTTTGTGGAACTAAGTAAAAATTATGCTTACTGGCTGTGAAGTAGTAGTAATAGCTAAACAGAATGAGAATTGGAAGCTTGGGAAAAAAAGATGTATGTATATGAGTCACATTTCTTTCAGAGCTGGAAGAGTAGACCATGGAGATGATTATTTTTTTGCAGATTAGGAAACAAGGCCTAGAGCTGTGCTGAAGGGACTAAATTGCTAGTCAGTGCAGGAGCCAGGTTTGGTGGGCAGGTCTCTGAACTCTATTCTATTTCTACTTTATCACATTCACATTGTTTATTTCTAAAGCATTCTAGTGCTAACTATAAATGGTTTTGGGATTATTAGTGACAATGTTCCTTTCTAAGGATATTTGTGTTGACTACTTTTACTGTGTAAACTTTTATTGAAAAGTTTAAAACAATATGCTGCACATTAGTGTGCTTATATTTCCTACTGATTGGAAAGAGACAAACTGCCATCTAGATTTAAAAAGTGAACTTCTTGGAGTAGGCTAGTATTATATAGCTAAAAATTAATTGCTTAAAAGATTTTCATAATTCAGAGACTCAGATTTTAAAAGTAAATTATGTGAAGATTATTATGTATGGGGGTTTTGTTATGTTAAAATGGATTTTGTTACCTTGAAAAGATCAGTAGTAGAGTTACATGATAATTATGAAAATATAATTTCTACCATAGTTGTAATAGAGAAAGACTAGATTTGTATCTCCGCCACTTAATAACATTATGATCTCTGGCAAGTGAGTTAACTACTGTGTATCTTGCTTTCTTCATCTGTAAAGTGAGGATAATAAAAGTACCTACCTCATAGGGTAGTGGTGAGGATTAAAAGTGCTTCCTTAGCACATATTAAAGGTGCAACAAATATTAGACTGTTCTTTGTGGTGCATGTTGTTATACAGTCACTTGTATGTCCTTTTGTTTCCTTGCTGTTAATAAAGTCACTTTGAGGTTACAAAAGATAAATGCATGATTAAATAATAATCTGCCTTAGGGGCTGTTAATGCAAATGATGTCCTCATGTGTTAGGTTACTTCCTTCCTCTGCTCACCTTGGAGCTTTGATAAAATGCACATATCGAGTTAACATGTCAGTTTTTCTGAATGTTCTTTAAGAGACTCTTATTACAGTTTCATTGTTCTAGAACCAAAATGTTAATAATTGCAGGTGTTATAATGGAAATGGAGTAAGTTATAGTCTGAAAACCTACTGGGTAAGACTACGTGAGAAAATCGGAATTTTTAAGTTCTATTATTAATTGTAATTCTTTTCTGCCAGTGTAACCTTGAGAAAATCATTGAACCTTGTTTTCTATTAAGTGAATGTTTTGATGACTTCATTCCTTAAACTGTTAGATTTTAGTGATAAAATCTGTGTAACTCCAGTTTTTGGGTTTGTTTTTAATCTTGCTGTAACCCAGGTCCAATTAGTATCATGAACATGTGGTTTAGCAAATTTTTTTTTTATGGTGACACTGGTGGATTTCTTCTCATGGGTATTCTTTGGTTCTGCCTTCTCAGTGTTTTCTATTGCTTTTATAGCAGCTTTTCTTTCTGTTAGATTACAGTGTTACTGAGCGATTATCACCATCTTGGTCATCGAGCTCTCTCACAACTACTTTACCTCCTGTTGCAACATGCAGCTTCTTCACATCTGTCAAATATAAGGTTACTTTTTTATACCTCTTTTTAAATGTTAATTTGAATTATTTTAAAAATACTTATAATATCTTTTACTTGCCCTTAATTTTAGACATTCGTTGAGTTGAATTCATTTTACAAGTTACAGATTGAAATCAGGAACAAGTTATAATTCACAAGCATCCTTGTTTGCCCTTTTGCAAATTCTTATTATTTTGTTTTAGATCTCAGGCAGGCATCCTCTTGGTGGTACATAAGAAGACAAATACAAGGGTAATCTCTTAGATAAAGTGTGCTCTTGTGATAAGACAGTTACATGCAGCCATCAGAAGTTTCCAGGGTCATATCTCTCACTGAGAAAGGATTTTAATTTGAAAAATGGTCAGCTCCTGCACTTCTTTTGATTAAATATTTTAATAAAGATTATAAAACTTATAACTTATTGGACGTGTATTGGATTCATGACATGCTTTTAGGGATTTTGTAGAGCTTAGATATGTGAATCCTTTCTTCAGACCTATTACATAATCTAACTGTGAATAAAATATTAACGATTTCAGAAGATACCAGTTGTACCATGTTATAATAAAATATAATAACCACTGCTCATTTTTTCCATTAAGTTGGAATATTCTTAATATATTTTAAAAAATATGTGTTATGAATTGCCTGTTGTATTTAAGATTCATGAATACACAGATCACATAGGCCAAACAAACTACTTTCTTAGCTTCAATGTAGATATTAGAGAATGACAGAGGGAAAGTATGAATTATTTGCCTTGCCCATCTTAATAAATTAACCTGAGTTAGCCAGCTGTCTTACTAGGGGAAAGAGCACATCTGAATCTGGTTAGAGCAGAAGTAATCTAGAAGGGTAATTAGGCTGGACTGTTGACTCATGCTAATAATGAGTAAATTTACATTAGAGTAGTTTAACTGAGAATTAGTTGTCTGCCTTTTTCTTTTTCACAGACTAAGGAATGACTTGAGAGAGACCATAATGACATTACAGATGACACTACAAATACAATGTGGCAAGAATATGTTTGCACAATTCCTCCGATGGTATATAAGCATTTTATCTATATACTGTTTAACACCAAAATGATGAGATGACATCCAGTAATCTTTTATCAATGCTAATGAGAGGAAGCAATGATGTGGATAATTTTGAAAAGATTCTCCTTGAAATAGGTTTCCCTGCTTTGGGATTATCTTCAAGTTACCGCTTTCATATTTTATTGCATATTTTATTGAAAGGAATTCTGTCAACAGGAGTAATATCCACTATTTCCAGTCTGAACAAGATTCTTCAGAATAGAAGAGGTGGTAATCAAGTTTTAATATACTGTATTTTAATTTAAAAGTTTAAAATTTTATCTAAAGAGAGTGTATGATAGAGTGTGTGTGTGTGTGTGTGTGTGTGTGTGTGTAGACATACACACTTTAAATGGAACAAGAAAACTAGAACGATGGAATGGAAATAATGTGGGAAATGAACTTCAGACCTGCATATTTGGTGGGTAGTCAGAGGAAGGGGAGTTAGAACAAGAATTGGAAGTTGGGTAGAGAAAACTGTTGAAGAAAACCAGGATTTTACAGGAGTTTAGCTCTAACATAGATTCTGGATTCTACACACTAGTTTGTCTTTGTATCAGGAAAATTGCTGAAATATATTTTAATGCTAAAATATAAGCTTATTAAACATTAAATATAAACTGTTGGGAGAAGTCCAACTCTTTCTTATAAGGGCTAAAATATACACATAGCCAAAGGGGAACTGATTTATCTAATTATTTATTTAGTCTTTGACTTTGGTTATTAACAAGATAACAGTCCAACCTCATTACCCTTCAGGTTATCAGTGCTGGACCAATTTTATTTAACATTTTTAGAAATGTTTTAAAAGACAGACTGGCAGTAAAAGTTGCCAGATTTGCAGCTGACTTTATATAATGTTCCAGGTAGTTAAAAGCCAGGCCAACAAGGAGAAAGAAGATACAGGAACATCCTTTGATGAGTTTTCTTGTGGCAGAGAATAAGATAATGCATTTAGGAGGAGATATTCCAAATTATATTTAGATCTGAGTTGTGACCCAGGAAGGGGATCCAGAAGTCATGGAGATTACTTCCTTGAAGGCATTTATTATAGTTACTGCTGGGCCACACAGTCCAGGAACATGTCAAGGGTTATTGGGCATGGTTCTGAAAACAAAAATAACAGTATTTATTATGTTCTGGGCTAAGTGATTTGCAGTTATTCTTTCATTTAATTCTCTTAATTCCAAAAGGTAGGTGGCTTTATTGAATTTTATCAAAGAGGAAATTTGACTAAGGGAGGTTAAATGACTTCTAAATCAGCCAATATATGTGTTGGATTTGGGACTGAGCAGGCCTGGTCTTTTGTTTGTTTAATCCTAAACATTTCCCAGTATTTTAGAAGGCATTTATTAAAACATACTAATAGTTTAATGTAGGGTTTATGAAATAGTGCTTGACTCCTTTGCTGTGGGAGCTTTAGATGTCATTACCACAAGACATGGCATCTAGATATTTTGAGAGGATTTAGAGACATTCCTTAAATTCTTGATTTTTAAGGAAGGTTAGGGAAGTTTTGGTACACTGTGAATCAATGCTAGTTACCTGTAAAATGTTTCCCTGTTGACTTTATAAAATGCTGAATCATTAATGGCCATTAATAAAGATGATGTGACTTTATAAGAAAGTTATTGTTTGGTATAAAAGACACCAGAATAGTAGTCCAGATACCTGGATTCTTCTGATGTCATCAAATAGTAGTGTGATTAACATCAGGATGACACTGAAACAGGTATAACATCATTTTTTCTGAAAGGAGGAAAAGACCTGAGGTATGTGTGGAGAGGTGTGCAAGTGAAGAAGATTTTGGAGTTCTTTACAGAGAGAATAATACTATGTTAGATAAACAGCTGAATTTTTTTCAACTGCAATTTCCTTAAATTTGAGCTGAAAATAAGAAAAGTATCTTACATTTTACTTACAGGATGGCATCTGCTGTATATAAGCTGCTGTAAACACACTCGCATACTTACACACATTTTGTATTTGTTGATTTTGGAATCTCAAAAAAAAAAAAAGCCATGATAACCAAGTGAGTAATATTTGTGAAAAGGCTTTGTAAAATTTTGAGTGCTTTCTAAGAATGATGGGGGACTACTAAAGTTCTTTAGATGGGTAGATAAACAGGATGCTGTGAAAAATTGGCAGGAGGAGAAAGAGCAGAAATGGGGAAGGAAAGTGTTAAAGATGAAAGAAGGGGGAAAATAGATATAAAGAAAATTGGCTATAGTTCTTTTTGGTCCTGCCAGTCAAAGAAGAAAGGTAATAAGTCTATAAAAGAATTTTAACATTAATTTGTTGTATGGGAGAAGCTCAGCAGATAGTTAAAACATTTTATTCACTTTTCCAGTTAGTCTATATTGATCATCGTAATAAAGCTATGAAAATAAACCGAGCATTGGCTGTATCTTCTGATTGTTTTCTTCGCTTATTGTTTCTGTACAGGTTTAGCTAATGGCTTTAAATAATAGAAGTGTGCTCACAAAAATAAAGTAAGCTGGACTGAGCTACTCTTTATTCTAGATTATGAAAAACCATAGGACTGTAAGGAGAAAGGTTGAAGCTTGATCTGTTTAAATGCATACAAAACAAAAGCCAAGGTAGAATGGGAACAAATGGTGAATAGTCTCACATGCCATACTAGGAGTTTGGATTTTTGTTTTAGGTGGGGAAGTGACACAAATAATTTGTTCTAGAAAACCGGTTCTAACTGTTACAGCTTTTTTTTTTTGTTTTTTTTTTTGTAAATATAAATCAGGTAAGAGATTGGAGACCTATGCCAGGGTGAGTCAAAGGGGCTTTCTTTCTGGCCGCTGGTATGTAGATTATAGTGAAGGATGCCATTTTAGATTGTCCTAGTTCAGGAAAGAGGTTATAATGGTTTGAATGAAGAAATTTGTCATGGGGATGGACACGTGAGCACTGATTTCAGAGATATTTAGAAGTTTCATTCCTTCAGATGTGGTTAGTGTTTGGAGGTTATGGAAGATGAGGATGAGTTTACGATTTCTGACTTGGCAGTGGGATAATATATGCAAGTTTGGGGCCTCCCCTCGTGGCACAGTGGTTGAACGCTGGGTTGCGAAGCTGCCCGCAGCCTCTGCAGCGCCGATTCGATCCCAGCTGCCGGCGAGGGTCCCACATGTAGCGCAGACCTCTCCTGCTGCCTGCTGCTCCCTTCAGCAGTGTACCTTGTCAGTCTGCCTGTTCTGTTCCCCACTCTGGCTCTGGTGAATTTTCTCACCCTCCTGCGCTTCTGACTGTACCCGGTGCTTGTATAAATAAATAAATCTTAAAAAAAAAAAGAATATATGCAAGTTTGAGGGTGATGAAATACTGGGTTTGCTTTCATGTAAGTAGTTGTGCTTTTTAGATAAGTAATAACATGACCAAGATACCAGTTGGAAATATGGTTCTAGCTCATAGTGGTTAGGCTTATGGATATGATTAGGAAGGCATAACATTTATAGTGGAAAGATGTGAATTCAACTGAGTAATGACCATAATTCCAAAATAATAATGGATGAAGGACAAAATGTAACCTGTCAGTATTGGCACTTACTTCAAGAGTATAGACCTTTTTTTTTTTTTTTTTTAATTTACATGTTGTCTGCTTCTAACCAAGACCTCATCACCTAGCCTGACAAGGAATATATAGGAATATTTTCTCCCAGAGAGACAAATATTTTAATGTCCTTGAAACAATGTACTGCATCCTGTCTGGCCATCCAGTACAACAGAGGAAATTCCTAGACAAATGCACTTCCTTCTTCCTCATCTAAAGTTTCTTTTTGGAACCTTGTTTGCTTCCTTTGAACTGGTAAAGTAGTTTGAGAAGATAATGAAGCCTGAAAGCTTTTTTCACCTTCTTGGGATTCTTGGTCCAGAGTAGCCTTAATCTGCCATCTCTTTGCCTCTCTGTTTTTCCTACCTCGCCAGACTTTACTGGGCTTAAAAATTATATAAAGCTCTTATTTAAAATACAGATTCAGGGCCTCCCCTGGTGGTGCAGCGGTTGAGCGCTGGGTTGTGCGGCTGCCTGCAGCCTCTGCAGCGCCAGTTTGATCCCCGGCCACCGGCGAGGGTCCCACTTAAAAAAAAAAAAAAATACAGATTCATTCATGTTACATTAACAGTGGATAATTCCTTTTAGTTGCTGACTAGTATTCCACTGTATGAATATGAGCTGAAGGCTCTGGCAAATAAAATGCACTCTATGAGGGGAAAGTAAAAATAGCATGGGTGAAAGAATGTTAAAGAAGACTTTAATCTTTAATTCCTCATCCAAGATTCTACTCTCAAAGCCAGTGAATGAAGTTAGTGAGTCATTGAGAAGAGAAGTCCAAATTCAATAAAATAAATACGTCTGTTGGAAGTAAGATCTTCAAGTGCTGAGGGAAATTGGAAAGAATCTCAGGTGGTTTAGCACTTAATGGAAAGGATGAGCTTTTGGTTCTGTGTTAAAGGAGTTAGAAGGACAAGACTGCCGTATATGCGCATATACTCATGTAATAACACTGTTAGAAGTGGGGAAAACTACACAGGAAGTACACATTAAGAAAGAAAAAGGAAAGGAACTGGTGAACGAGATTCCTTATCTAAAAATGCATCGTTTGTGTTGGGATTAATACAAAATTATGATAAAGTTTGGAATTGGAACTCCTTGAATCATATAAGTCAGAAAATTGAAAATGAAAAAAAACTTGACTTTTTTAACTTGATTTAAACAGCTGTTAAATATTATGATGTATATAACACTGATGACTTAATTTGTATACTACCTAAGCGCCTTATATTTTCTTTCCTTTTATAAATCTTTAATTAATTAATTAATTAATATAAGCACTGGGTATAGTCAGAAGCGCGGGAGGTTGAGAGAATTCACCAGAGCCAGATCAGGGAGCAGAACAGGCAGACTGATGAAGCACACTGCTCAGGGGAGCAGCGGGCGTGGCAGGAGAGGTCTGCGGGCCATGTGGGACCCTTGCTGGTGGCCGGGGATCGAACCAGCGCTGCAGAGGCTGCGGGCAACTTTGCAGCCCAGTGCTCAACCGCTGCACCACCAGGGAGGCCTCCCTTTTATTTTCTTTTCTAACTGTGATTCTCACACTTTACTGGGCTTAAAAATTATATAAAGCTGTTATTTAAAATATAGATTCATCTATGTTATCTGTAACAGTAGATAATTCCTTTTAGTTGCTAACTAGTATTCCATTGTATGAATATGCTATAGTTTATTTTTGCTGTGGAATGGCTTCTTTCCAGTTTTCAACTGTTACTACTAACGCTGCTGTGAAGATTCTTTTTGTGACACATCTCATAGGTGAATACCTAGAATTGCTGATTATAGGATAGTTGTGTGTTTAACATTTTGAGGAACCAATGGACAGTTTTCAAAATGGCTTACCATTTTAGACATCTGCCAGCAATTTCCCTCTTACTTTTTTATGAAGAAGTTTAGAATTATTTGATGTTCTTCCTTAAATGTTTAATAGAATACATCAGTGAATTCTGGAATTTTGTGAAAGGTTCTTAACTAGGGAATCTTAGTTAAGTTCTTATTTTTTAAAAAGATTAGATGGGAAGATGCAGAATTTTTTAAATGTCCCTTTTGATAATGTATGTCTTTTGAGGAATTTAACTTGTCTAATTAAAAATAAATGCTGCATGTTATGAAATGGTACTTCCTTTATTTTTTTATTTTTTTGGGTAAGATTATTTATTTATACATACAGGAACTGGGGTATAGGCCAGAAGTGTGAGGGAGTGGGTGGTGCGAGGATTCATCAGAGACAATGGGGAGCAGGACAGGCGGACGGACTGACTGAAATACACTGCTGAGGGGAGCAGCGGGCAAGACAGGAGAGGTCAGCTGCTCCATGTGTGTAGCTCCCTGGCTGGCCGGGGATCCAACTCATGCTACAGTGACTGCAGATAGCTTTATAGTGCTGAGACTTTACCCCTTGTGCCACCAGAGATGCCCAAACAGTACTTCCTTTTAATGTCAGCAGCATCTACATGGATATTTCCTCTTGATCCTGATACTTGGGTGCATTTTATTCCTTCCCACTTCGCTCCCTTGATTATTCTAGCTAAGGGCGCTCAACTTTATCCTTTCAAATAATCAGCTTTCAGTTTTGTTGATTTTCTCTTTATCTGTTTTTCTATCTCATGATTTGAGCTTTGATTACTTTTTTCCTTCTTACTCTAGGTTTAATTTGCTCTACTTTTTCTAACTTTTTTTTTTTTTTTTTTTTAAGATTTATTTATTTATACAAGCACTGGGTACAGTCAGAAGCGCGGGAGGGTGAGAGAATTCACCAGAGCCAGAGCGGGAGCAGAGCAGGCAGAAGGACCGAAGGACACTGCTGAGGGGAGCAGCGGGCGGCAGGAGGGGTCTGCGCGCCATGCGGGACCCTCCTCCAGTGGCCGGGGAGCAGCCAGGGATCGAACCGGCGCTGCAGAGGGTGCGGGCAGCTTCGCAACCCAGCGCTCAACCGCTGCGCCACCAGGGGAGGCCCTACTTTTTCTAACTTTTAAGGTGGAAACTTAGATCATTGTAGATTTTATTTAAAAATTTAGTAACATGTAAAGCTGTAAGTTTTAATTATCATTCCATTAAAATGTTTTCCAATTTCTCTTGGAATTTCTTTGATCCATGGGTTGTGTTTCAAAGAATGTTTCCAAATAATTTCCAAATATTTGTGATTTTCCAAGTATTCTTTTGTTACTGTGCTTTTACTTAATGTTACTGTGATTAGAGAATATTCTCTGAATAATTTAAATCCTTGTAAGCTTTTTGATTATTTTAGGACCCAATATATGGTTTATTTTGGTAAATAGTATACTTGAGAAGAATGTATATGCTCATTGTTGGGCGCAGTGTTCTATATATATGTTTGGGATTACTGTTTCATTAGGTTGGTTTTCATCTATCATGTTTTTATTTTCTCTCTACTTACTCTATTATAATTACTGAGAGAGGACAGTTGGAGTTTTCAACTATAGTTTTGGATTTTGTCTGTTTCTCCT